GTTTCAACTTAAGAACACCATTCCAAAACGGATTAAGTTCTTAAGTAGAGGTTCCACTGTAGTTTCTATGGACGGAAAAGAGCAGATACAGATTAAATGGTTTTCAATGCATTCCTATGGGAAATACAGATTCAACATAAGAACTTTTCAACTTGAGAACCACCTTCCAATATGGATTAAGTTCTTAAGTAGAGACCCCGCTGTAGAGAGGACTCAGAAGTGCTTTACTCTTCCCTTCCTCTAGGGGGCAGTTCTGGGACTTCTTGGGCAGCTTGCCCAAGGCCACCCAGGCTGGCTCTTCTCCCAGGAGATACACGGTGGGGAAACCAAACTCCCATCCTCTGGCTCTGCAGCCAGAGTGAAACCACTGGACTATACTAGCACTTAATAGCTTCGTATTTCCTCCATAATTAGCCATTTCTTCCGCATTTGATGAGATGGGCTTTTATTGCAGATGCAGAAGGGCTTCTCCTCTTGCAATTCGTAAGGCTCCCTGAACGTTCGTGGCACGACCATCAAAAGCTCAGGAAATATAGTTCTGCTCCTGCTTGCTGGGGATTTTAGGATTTGCAGTCCTGACAAGGAACATTTCCAAATTATAAAGTTGAACAAACAAACACGTATGGTCTTTGTACAAAATACAGAAGTAAGAGTAGGTGTGCACTAGGGATAAAAGATGGGGGATCCTATTATTAGATCATGCAAATATCCAAACCCGGCAGATTTCCAAATTCCTGCAGGCGCCGCTTGCGGAGAAGCAGAAAGAGAAAAAGGCAAGATTGTGCCAGGCAGAAAGGGAAGCTTTGGGGCCCTGCTCAAGTCGTCTTTGCCGGTGCAAGAAGCGACTCAGTCCAGTTGTGCATTTCTCCGTAGGCGTTTCTACCCTTGCTGACTATGGCCGCCCAGCAGAGCAATGAGAAGGGTCTGAGTAGCCGCCGGGCGGCGGTTATTAACGTTTCCAGCATCGGCGGCTCCATTGGGAACCCTCCCAGCTTCCAGACGTTTCCAGTCATCGCTTATCGCTGTAGCAAGGCAAGTCCACGAGAATATGCGTCTGTCCCACTTCATGAGAAACATGCAGCCCTAGAAGAGGGGTTCCCAGCACTGCTTCTCCAGATGTTCCCCCCATCCTCACCCTTTGACCTCTGTTCCTCTGCTTTTGCCTCTTTCTCCAGACGGCGCTAAACATGCTCACGCGGTGCCAGGCACTGGAATACAAAGGCCGGGGCATTCTGTGCGTGGCCATCCATCCAGGCTGGGTGAAAACGGATTTGGGAACAGACAAGGTACCATCTCTGAGTATTAGACCCAATGGCAGAGGGTGGGAGAGGAGTCGGAAACACAACTTTAAGGTCAAAGAAGGATAGCCTTCTTTAGATGCTGCCGCCGCATTGGGTTCTAAACCTGTGTTTCTATTCATGTTCGAGCAATCATCCTTGCAAATGAAGCCTGTGTTTATCTCCCAGCGGCCAATCACAAAACTGGGCAAGCTCATTTGAAAACTAAGGAGTCCTGAAAAACATTTGCTAAGAAACTCAGATGTCTCTCTGCATTTAAGGAATTCCCTTTCCTAACAATGAGCTATCTATAATGAACAGTTTGACTCTTATAGGACTTTATATTTACAGGCAGGATACTAGCAGCATTGTTTGAATCGATACTATGAAATCCAGCCTTATTTATCCAAGTGACCAGGAAAAAGGCTCATCGGGGCCCGTCCCATTGATACATTCCCATTCTTGGCACTGTGGCACAGTTCTCTTTTGTCCCACAATCTAAGACTCTGCTCCTTGACTGAGCAGGTGCTAGCTTGTTTCAAAGTGCAAGCGATTCATCTTTCATTGTGAAAAGCTAGCTCTTGAAGAGTGCTTGCCGTAGTACTTCTGCCCCTCTGACTCTCTGACACCTTGATGATTGTAGGTGACCTCAGAGTACCCCACCACCACCACCACCACAGTAGACTGCGATTTCTCCTCTCCCTGCCTCTAGAAGAATCGTAGCACCTTAAAGACTATCAGATTTATTTCAGCTTGAGTCTCCCTGGAAGCGGCTATGGTGGGTTTATACTGCAGTGGCCAGCTGCACTCACAGAGACGGAAGGGGGGCCTCTAAGGCCATCAAGTCTGACCTGTTGCTCAAGGCAGGAATCCCAATCCAAGCAGATCAGACAGAAGGTGGCCCAATTTTCTCTTGAGGGCCTCCAACGTTGGGAGTGCTCACCACCTCTGAAGGTTTTTCGTTCCATCGTCATACTGCTCTAACAGTTAGAGGTGTTTTCCTGCTATTCAGCCTAAATGTGGCTTTCTATATACCTGGAGCCCATTATTACCTGTCCTATTACAAGGTCTGTGAGACAGCCAGAGCTGTCCTTGAAGGCTTCCCAGTTTGCTAAAAATGGTCTGTGTTTCTCTGCTGGCATAACCCTGGAGAGCCGAGGGTTCCCTCCATGGCACGACGAGACGGCCAGACAGGCCTTTAGCGCAAGAACCTTTCATCTACTGTTGTCGTTGTCGGTTGTGTGTGAGAGAGTGGAGTGGAAGCACCCCTCCAAGCCCCAAATGGTAGCCTGCGTGGCCTCCGTCTCTCCAGAAATGGCCTCTCCCGCCCACCTCCATGTGTCCAATTCACCGGTGGGCAGATTGGTTGGCCGTCGTAGCTGCTCTTGCGGCCCTCTCTCCTTTTAACGCACCCTTTTATTCTGAAACACAGGCAACGCTGGATGTGGGAGACAGCGTACGTGGGATCCTCCGCGTGATTTCCAGCCTCTGCGAAGAACACGCTGGCCGGGTGGTGGACTGGCAAGGGAGGCTGGTGCCCTGGTGAAAAGCCCAGGGGGTGGCGTGGCCCACAAACGAAGCCACCGCTCAAGCTGGATTTCCCCGCATGGCATGAGAAATCCCTGCAGCGCTACTAGAAATAAAAGCTGTTAGATTTCCCTTTGCAGGTCAGATTGGCTGAATTTGTATGTGGGTATGGATGCACAGGATGACTCACAACGGATCAGGTGCAGTTCTAACCCTGAAATAAAAAGGCAGTTACAAAGCACGGTCTGTATCGCCAGCTGCCCTTTTTCAACTTTTGTCCTTTCTGGAGCACAAAGGAAACCCTTGCTCGCGCCAGTAAATCAATCTGAAACTTTAGAGAGTCATGATTGGTCACAGTGCACAGTACAGCAGGACCTCCATATCTTTAGATTCACTTATCCACAGTCTGAAAATATTAAAAATGTCAAAAGAAAAATCTTAGAAATATATAGTATTTCTAAAAAGATGGAGTTATTAAAACTGGCCACTAGTGGGAGCCAGAGACCATGTTATGCATAACGTTCCCTATTAAAACAGTGTTTGCTATAATCTGTGTTTTTCAGCATCTGTGAGACAGGTTGGAACCTATCCTCCTGAGACAGGTTGGTCCTACTGTACTAAGCTAGAGGATCGCATGGTTTCCTATGGGATAAGGCAGTTCTCTGTGCTTGTATATATTGAAATAATATATGCTTTCAGCCTCTGTAACACAAAGTAATTTACAACTCGCAGTCAGAATATGTGTAAGTCATTCATGACTCATGAAAAACCTGCCTATAATTAATAATAGAGGATCTTTCTGTTTCAGCTAGAGCTCGATGAGCATAAAACACATACCTGAAATCTGTCATACATACTAGCAGAATCTAGCAATGTGTGCATGGCAATGAGTGGTAGTAATAAGAATTCTAAACCCTAGAGCATGCAGTACCATCTTCAGTCACAAGGTGGCAGGCTTATCAAATCAGAACATAGGTTTACAGTGATTCTGAAGCTAGGGAGAATATTCCATGGGATGAAATAAGGCAGTCACCTTCAGCTCTGACAGACAGAATGGACATACAGTACCTACCCCTAGGGAAGCACTGTAGAAATGCATGATGACAGTAGTAATTTCCTGGGCTCAGAAGCCCAGATGTGGGATACCAGAGGTTATGATTTGACTCAAAAGGGGCTAGGGATGGGCTTGGCTCTGATAGCTACATATAGATGCTTGAAGTCCTTCATGTATCACACTGCTCTAATATGGAAGAAGGCTGGTTCTTTAGTAACTACAAAATACTTTAATTGCCACAGAGAACCGAAATATCTGCAGAGGTTGTTCACACTGGTATCTCTAGGAATACGAGCTGAGAAATGTTCTTCCAGAAGAGGAGTCTCTACTTGATTGTGTTCTCAGTGACAGCCGTCAATAAGATATAAAAGACACAACGCTCCCATTCACAAGGGATCAGTCAAGATTTTATTAGCTAAAATACCAATGCCAGAATCAGTAGAAAAATAAAAACTGATTAGCACTTCTGCCATACAGGTGTTTGTTCATATGTGCCACCCCCGTTATAAGAAAGCCAAGGCTCAGAAAATGCCTCGAGACCACCGTATCTTCTTTCCATCCCTCACAAAGCTTTGGATTCACAGTCACGAGTTCTTGAGATTTCGGTGCAAATTCCACCCTTAGATGCCCTCTTACACCTCGGTGGAGATCTTCGCCACAGGAAACACCCTTGAGGCATCCACAGCCACTGCCGCCCTGTGTGTGTCCTTGAAAACCAGCAGGTTGAGCCTCCACAAATGTCAGCAGTGGTCTCTCGCCTGGCTTTTCCATTTCTGTTGGCAACGGGGGTTTCCAGGAAGGTCTGCCAGGTCCCACTAAGCCTCTAGCTTCCCTATCATGAAAGAGTTGCAGACATCCTTGTTCTTATGGACAAGTGATCTTCTCCACCTTGTCCAGACAAGGCAGGTCTCTGAAGCCCGGTAAAATTACAATCCAGACTGCTAAAGATCAAAACGAAGAAATTTGATCATGGGGTAGGAGGAGAGAAAAGGAAGGAGGGATTTCCTCTCCCTTGACAAAATCTAGGAAAACTAAAACCAAAGAGTAAAAAGTGAGAGAAATTAAAAGGCTGTACCAGCTTCTTCCAGATCTAGGGGAAGGTTGGAAGTCGGCGAATTGCAACCACACATTGCGCCACCCTTCTTAGGAGACAGCTGAAATATCCTAACATGGTTGTGACCTCCAACTTCTTAAGCCCAACAATTGCATATAACATACAGCCTCTTCCTGATTGTTCATTCTCTCTGCAGCCAGCAACAGTAGATATTAAGCCCAGAGAAGTTAAAACACTGTAGAATTTCCACTCGTCAGACATGGTGGCCAAAGGCTCATCGCACGGCCCCCCATTCTGTTACAGCAGCTGAACAGCGACAAACAGTAATGGGGGAAACTGTACAAATGATGGATGGAGGCGAGAGGCTGGTTTTGGTATTCGCCTGTTTAGAGTGGATACAAAAATTCAGGGACAACTTCACTTCCAACTGCAGGCAGAGGAAATCTGATTCAAAGCACCATCCATGACATGGTTTTCTTTGGAAGGAAACATTCTCTAAATTTGGAAAAGGTGGTTTTTAAGGAAGCTGTACCTGCTCTGTATTCTGAGGCAGGGCAGTCCCATCTGAGGGGTGTCTCATGGTGAGCCCCGAACATCTGAAGGGCCTTGCCATGACCTCAAAAGAAAGTACCCCAGGATTCTTCTTTTTGAGACAGATGGGTGACACTCAAGAGAAGCAACGCTTCCAAAAATCTAATAAAATAAAAATAAAATTCTCCTAGAGCAACTTGGGAGTCTGCAGACAGTGGCACTGCAGGAGGAGGAGGAGGAGGAAGGGGTGGCCAAAGGTTATAAGACTGGTCCCTAGAGGTGGGGGGCAGGCTGCCCAGGCACTTGTGTGGGAAAACAAAAGCAATCCGAGCTTCGTCAGCAGGATCATTAGCGCTCACATACACACACGCGCACTTCTTCAACTCTACACAAAACCCAAGCAGTGTCGTTCTGATGGTCACAACAAAGAAGAGTAAGACAATAATTGATCGTGATAACTCTTCACAGAAATGGGGCCAAAATATCTGAGAGGGATTCTACACAATATAATCACCGAGGGCTTTAATAACAGAGGAGCACCCGACACTCTCAAACTAATAATCGTAATAGCAATGACTGGAATTTGCCAGGTTCTCACGTACAAGGAACACAGTGACCATCCACGAGATTCAGGGGAACTGAACTTCATCATCCATTTTGTGTTTTTGAGGTAGCAACAGATTGTTTTTCTGAGCCATTGCTGCAGTCCAAACACAGCCCTAAAGGAAAACCAAAAAGCTTGTTTCGAGGAAGAGGACGCCGACAGAATTTCTTCTGCAGTTTCCAGTTCACATTCATCCGAGTTCGTTAAAGTGCATCTCTCTGACAACAACCTGATTAACGCGTGGAATTTCTTCAAGGGGACCGTTCCAGGAGAGAATCTGTGACGGATGTTCTGTGATCCCGTAGCACAACCCCTCTGCTTGTTTGCTTAATCCACCCTCTCCAAGGGGGAAAACACACACACACACACACCCAGGTTGGCACTTGAGGTCAGGGGGGAAAAAGTTGCAAAATATAAATACAGAATTGGTTTTGATTTCAGACAAGAGACTAAAAGCCTGTTCAGTGTCACAAGCAAGACGAAAATGCTTCCAGTTTACGTGGCAGCACTCTGGAAATATTTAAATGATGCAGACCCTCGTACATCTAATTTGCATTTGTTTTTTCACTAGAACCTGCCTGCCATTTTGCAATCAGACCTCAAGGGCTGCTAGAAAGCCACCGCATCTTTGCTAGAACTGTGTATGTGTGTTGAATAACGGCCTTCTCGGTGACTTTTAGCTGCTCAACTGTAGACAAGAAGCGGTCCTTCCAAGCTGCAAGAACCTGTTTGTGGAGAGAAAATTAATTTGGTCTGCGCTCACATTCCCCCGAGCAAATCTCAGTGAAGTGAAGAGAAGCATCACAAGAACACGACAAAGGTTTTCCGCAGGTCCCTCTTCCTCCAGCGAAGTTTTCACGCAGCTTTTCCCCACGGATCTCAGGCTTTTGAATTCAGCACAGCGTTGCGCTTTTCTTGCTGGCGGCCAATGTCCAGGCTGATGCTAAAGAGTGGCTAAAATCCGCAAGAAGGAAATCAGCACCACACAGACGGTCTGGCCCACCCCCAAAATCAGGGCCTCAAAGGGGATCATCTCCTTCCCAGCAGATCTGTAGACACCGGCGACGGCAGCGCCTGCACCAGAGAAAGAGAAGGAGAGAAAGCATCTTCCCAGACAGGCGGCTCATCTCCCACGGGCCTCCCATCATCACATACAATAAAAACGGGTTTCCGGGGATCAAAACTGTATATTTGGGAGACAGAGATTCACACCCTCTGGGAGCTGGGGATGATACTTTTGAGTACCAGACGTTGGGTGGGGGGCAGATAATACCTCTCTCCCTGCAGGGAGAGAGGTATTAGCTACAATTGAGGATGGCTTGGTGGGAGAGGAAAGGTTAACACTTTATCCTGTTCATTGATTTTTTCCCCCATGCGGGTGGACGTCTAGCATCAGAATTGGCTGAAAGTGAGGGGCTCCGGGAGTAGGGTGATGGGGAAGATCTTGCCTGCCATTCCTGTTAAAATTGCCCTCTCGTCAGCTCCAGGCATTGGGAACATGGGGTTGTCTTGATACTGGCAAAAATCCTCTTGCGTAGCTAAGCCAGCATAATGCTAACGACACGTACCTTTTGGAGTCAAATTGCCCCTAGTTAAGAAATCACCTGTTGTCCAACTTAAGTCTGCAACAGAGAAGGTCTATGGTGGTTCCTCAACTGGAAGCAACTGGCCTCCAAAAATTACATCACTAGCATTCTGCCAGCTTAGCTACACAAGAGGATTTTGGCTACCATTGGGAATGCAACTCCACAGGGTCTGCTGTGGAGGGGGGGGGGAGATGATGGGAGTCGTAATCGAACAGCATATGGAGGGATGATGGAAGTAGCAGTCCAGCAACATTGGGGGGGGGCACAGATTTCCTCCTTGCAATCAATGCTTTACTCAGTGTTTCTTTAAGAACATCCATCTGCAAGACACCGTATCTGCCCCTCGTAGGTTTGCAAAGTGAGGGAGGCCACTGCGCCCCCCCCGCCCTCCCCTCAAAGGGAAATCCACGGAGCCCACTCACTTGTCAAGGTCCCGGCCGCCAAGGGCCCCAGGATGCCCATGAGGAAGATGCTGACGGAGACGAAGCGGCCGTATCTGTGCTGCCGGAGGGTGAAGAGGGCCAGCAGTCCTGCCGGGACGTGGAAGAAGAGCGACGACACCAGGGCCCACAAGAAGACCCCGTACCACATCTCTGTCAGGAAAGAGAGAGGGAGAGGGGGGGTGAGTGAGGGGCAGGACCCCCGCAGGGGCCACCAGAGGCCAGGCGGGCAGAAGCCCATCCCGTGCCCGCCCAGAGGAGCCGGCTAAGTTTGGGGGGAC